TATAGGGGCATTTCGTGTTTAAGGGCATAAAGACTAAGAGTAGTCTTGAGAGAGGGAGTTCAGATGTGATTCTTCCAAATATCAAGACTAAGAGTAGTCTTGAGAGAGAGAGAGAGGGGGGGAGTTCAGATGTGATCCTTCCAAAGATCAGAGATTGAGAGTAGTCTTTGAGATCTAAGACTAAGAGTAGTTTTAAGAGAGACCCAAGAGTGGAAAAAACGTGTAAGAGTGCATGTTTAAGAGAGTTCCTAAGTGTTTTTTCAAGAGTGAAAACACCTAAGGCTAAGAGTAGTCTTAGAGAGAGAACCTGACTTAGATCTAAGAGTAGTCTTGAAAACACACTTAGGAACTCTTTCCTAAGTTAAACATGCACTCTTACACTTTTTTTCACTCTTGGGTCTCTTTTAAGACTACTCTTAGTCTTAGATCTCAAAGACTACTCTCAGTCTCTGATCTTTGGAAGGATCACATCTGAACTCCCTCTCTCTCAAGACTACTCTTAGTCTTGATATTTGGAAGGATTACATCTGAACTCTCTCTCTCAAGACTACTCTTAGTTTTCATGCCCTTAAACACGAAATGCCCCTATATAGGGGCTGCCACTGGCAGATTTGAAGGGGCAACTTACAAAGAGGCAATTCCATTCTAGTGCTTTTCTCAGTCAAAGCACTAAATAAGCACTTAACCATTTAATGGGGCACTCACCCACGAAATGGCCCTCTTCAGCACTTGGCTCTGTTTTGTGGAGCACTCACCCCTCTTAATGGAGCACTTAGCCCTTTGGTGGAGCACTGGTCCTACCACCCACTGAAACAAGCCTTGCATACAGTATTGCTAAATCTGTCCTAACTTGTAGATGACATCCCCAACTACTTAGGCATTTTCCCACACGAAATGATATTAGATACAAGCACTACACAGGCATGGGTACAAGTCATTACAAAAAGTTAAACGCCCACTACTAGTGGCTGCCACTGGCAGATTTGAAGGGGCAACTTACAAAGGGGCAATTTCATTCTAGTGCTTTTCTTAGTCAAAGTACTTAACCATTTAATGGGGCACTCACCCACGAAATAGCCCTCTTCCGCACTTAGCTCTGTTTTGTGGAGCACTTAGCCCTCTTGGTGGGGCACTGGTCCCACCACCCACTGAAACAAGCCTTGCATACAGCATTGCTAAATCTGTCCTAACTTGTAGTTGACAACCCCCAACTACTTAGGCCTTTCCGGGTGTGGCAAGAAGGAAGGGAGCTTGGCTAGAGGGGTGGGGAAAAAGGGGTGTCATAGTAGAAAAGTACGATTCCACGGGAGGGAGTTGGAGGACCAAGGCAATTACAACACCTTTCGGGTGTGGCATGTGGAGGAGCATCATGAAGAATTGGGAAGCATTCAATGGCAACATCACTTACAGGGTGGGAGATGGAAGGAGAATCAACTTTTGAAATCATAGGTGGTGTGGAGAGTCTCCTTCCACCAGGTCTTCAAAGTTTCAAACCAGAAGGAAGTGATGGTCCAACAGATTCGTAAGGAGCATGAAGGGGTATGGGGCCTCTCATTTAGAAGGAACATGCAAGATTGGGAGATTGCGGAGCTCCAAGATTTGTTGACACTGCTATATGGGCAAGACAGGCCCCGGCCATCTTGTGATTCTTGGAGATGGGGTTTGCGTGGCGATGGTTTGTTCACCGTAAAGTCCTTTTACCAGAGTATGTTGGTGAGAGAGGAGGCCACTTTTCCACACTCCTCGATCTGGATTCCTAGGGCGCCCACGAAGGTGTGCTTTTTTGCATGGCTAGTGGCGAGGGGAGTGATCTTGACTGCTGAAAATCTTCGAAAGAGAGGAATTACACTTGTTAGTTGGTGCTACATGTGTAAAAGCTCAGGGGAAGAAGTTGATCATCTTTTGTTGCATTGCCCCTGTGTCCTCGGCTTTGTGGAGGGCAATCCTGAATCTTGTTGGTGTTCAATGGGTGATGCCAAGCACTGTAAAGGAAATGTTATATAGTTGGGCCGGTTTCCGTAGAAGAAGAAAGCAAAAGGCGTGGAAGTTCGCCCCGTTAGCTCTCATGTGGATAGTTTGGGGGAGAGAAATAGGAGAGCTTTTGAGGGTATTGAGTCTCCTTTTTCACATCTTA